GGTTGCTAATGTTTTTAATGTGTGAAGTCTGTCGAGGGTCTGTCTAAGGAGCGTCCCCAGCCGAATATCTTCAACGTTTACATCATTGGATCTGTTCTTGGACAGTTCGCCATCCACATTGCGACTCTGGTCTACCTCTCCAACTATGTCTATAAGCACGAGCCGTATGTTATGAGAACCTCCCTTTTATTTGTCCCTCTTCATGGCTAACACAACTGACAGGAGAGATTCTGATATTGATCTCGAGGGCGAGTTTGAGCCTTCCCTCTTGAACAGTGCCATCTACCTCCTCCAGCTTATCCAACAAATCTCCACCTTCTCGATCAACTACCAAGGTCGTCCCTTCCGCGAGTCCATTCGCGAGAACAAGGGCATGTACTGGGGTCTCATCGCCGCATCGGGTGTTGCATTCTCCTGCGCCACCGAATTCATTCCCGAGCTGAATGAGAAGTTGCGCCTCGTTCCCTTCACCAATGAGTTCAAGATGACTCTGACCGTGCTGATGATCTTTGATTATGGTGGCTGCTGGTTGATTGAGAACGTTCTCAAGCACCTGTTCAGTGACTTCCGTCCCAAGGACATTGCTCTTCGTCGTCCCGACCAGCTTAAGCGTGAGGCGGACCGTAAGTTGCAAGAGCAAGTCGACGCCGAGGCTCAGAAGGAGCTACAAAGAAAGATTTAGTTTGGTTGGTTTGAAGATTTGTATCTGTATACATAGAGAGGCGGTTGTTGGATTTTAGAAATGTTCATGTGATACATGACATTTAATACATGTTTTTTTGGCTTTTATCGAAACAATCTAACAAGTACAAATGTTTTTATTTTTTGGTTTGAATGGTTACTGCTACTCCGTACTGTCAAAGAATTTGGCTACGAAATGCTCCTGAGTCACTATCACCCTGCATCGCCCTGCATCTCTATCACCATTAGCGCGTTTGACATGTCACCACTAGCCAGGATCATAGTAGTAGACCTATTCTTTATCTTATAGAACAATATGCAGTTCGTATAACGTCTCCGACCGATCTGCCTTTTTATAAGGTTCGGGTAGTGCCCGAAATGATCGACAAGTCCACCCCACACGGGTTCTCTGTATGCCCTTGTGTTATTGGGAACTATGCAGCCGACATGTATTCACGAATGAAAATTGTGCGCGAGGGAGAGTGCATGAACGAAGGCAGATGAAGATCACCACCATGATATTCTGGAAGCATAGGTCTCCATGGGTGAACATGATCTGGTCGTTGTTTTGGCATAGCATACTAGATAAGAAATCTTTGCTCTCACATTTTGGTGCCTTGGATTGATCGACATCGATAATTGCATTATTTAAAGCTTCTTCTGGGTCGAATGATCCTGAATATGGGTAGTGTATATATCGGCGTAGTTGACTACCAACCTTTGACGTGATAACTTTCCAAGATCGGGTCGGTAACAGGGCCGGAATTAGCTGAGCCTATATAGCTACCGTTGCTCATCTGCCGAAGTTCGAAGAGATATTCCTTGAGCTGGTTAGTGACATGGGATTTTGTGTTCTCATCATAAGACTCCGAATTATATCAAATTATCTTCTTCGCCTGGTCGGCACATTTGGTTCGTTTGGTGGACATAACACCCCACCTTAAGATTGAGGAGTTCTGACTGCGCATGGAGTATGTATTATGTTCTTCTTTCCTTGGGATACAAGATTTTTAGACACAAATTTCATAGATTGCCCCATATAGACTTGCACGTATCCCGCACCGAGGTTGGGGATGTTCTAGGGATGCGGAGTTAGGGCTAAATAGCACGGGACCACACTTATCTAGAACCCGCTAGAATCGAGAAAAAAGAGAAGAGAGTCCATTTGGCGCTCATCATCCTTCGCGTGGAGCTTTTCTCAAGGAAGTGTTTCGGGTATCGGGTTCTAGACAGAGTAGCTTGTTTTTGGGTTGCCTACCGATATGCACGTCGATGTACTAGTTATTGATTTCGCATACATGTGCACAGCAAATAAGGTAACATACCCGGGAATGGGAAAATAGTAGGGAGTACTCCGTAGAACAAATTCACATGGAGAGCTGAACAGTACGTGGATTTCTTGGAACTCCACAGTGCTTGGAGATCCTCCCGGTGCTGCACCACTGTAGGAAGAAGTCGGTGAGCCCATGGGATTGTCGTCATAAACCTGTCGTTTCCCAGGTAACAAGCGATCGACGACATAGAATTTGTTATACATGCATAACAAGGATGTGCAGTATTGATATATCCAACCTAATCTATGATATCAAGATTGATCTTCCTCACTAACCCTGATTGCCCATGCATTGTTGGCCACGGGATTTGAACCATTACGGAGATTCGCTGTCAACCCTACCAAGATGCATATTTATCAGGACACTGTTGATATAAACCACGAAATTATCAAATTATCATCCTCCGCCTGAGTGGGTGCGCATTCTACTATCTTTGCTCGACAAGATCATGTACATGCTGCTGATAGATTCATAGCAATTGCTTTCCTCGCTTGAGTCCTGTAATCCTTTCCCTTTGCATAAGCTCAATCAGAATCTCTGTATCAAACGCCAAAATGTACTCTGAATCAACGTCATTATGGCAAAATAATTGTCCATATCAATAGAGTAGAGTGGATATGTACGTGGGAGACCTACCCCTTACATAGTGGCAATATTTGATACCTACTATAACTATGATCAGAAATAAACGCGCGTCGTCACTTTCTAAAACATGTCCGCATTTCAGCCATCCTGCAACGAACCCTCCCCTTGCTCCGACTCGTGCCTCGCAGCTTCAGGCTGCAGTGCGATGCACATCGCGGGAAAGTCACCAGGAACAAAAGTACCACTGTAGCCTAAGATCATTGTCGGAAATATTCCTACGAGCTCCATTCGGGTGCATGTCTAAATGTTAATGGTCAATACGCCATTTGGCTAGGGTAAGTCATGGAATGTAAGATCTCCACGAGTTTTACTCAAATAAATGCGTGGTTATCGCTGGAATGCAATGGTATGGAGTGTAATATAACATGTTCACGATGCAGCCTTTAGATCAGGGCTAGGTTTGTGCCCTTGTAATAGCTCTGTTAATAGCCTTGACCATCGCGATCACATTATCAGAAGATATGGGAATCTCATGCCCCCTGTCGTGAACAAAAACAGACCTAACTAGCGCATTACACGCCTGGCTAGCTGCCTCAGCCCTTTCCTTGTCTCGGTCATGACATCCCCAAATATGAGCCGTTGGTAGATCAAGAAGCCCGTCGGCTGGATCGAACTTTGCTCCAAATAATTCCTTGGCTAACAAGTCGTGGTACTGGAGCAAACCTGGAGCAGAAAAAAAGATTCCCACTTTGAAGGGTAGCTGCAAAGGTTTGTTGTCTTTCTGCTCCCGCAGCTTCTTGAACATCCACGACATGACAAACGTGGCACCTAGACTAAACCCCATAACACCATCGTATGGGCCTTCGGCTTGCACATAGCGCTCGAGATCATCAAATGCCTTTGCACAAGACTCTGGTGATAATGGGTTGCAATAGGCGAAAGTTTCATCATCAGGAGGTAGTAATTCTCTCAAATCTAGTTCTTTGTCAGAATTGGTTAACCAGTAAGTAGGCTTGAGGATAAGCAAACCTTCGTTAAGCGCCGAGGGAAAAGTTCCGTCGACAAAATCATAGCTGTGACTGTCACCGAGCTCATGTCGAAGCGCAGCTTTAACCCGATGTTAGTTCGATATTTTGTTTTTCTTAGACTTAGTAGATAAAGGTACCAGTTTGCCGTTTGAAGATCTATAGAGTTAAAATCCAAGTAGTCAGCAAATTAAACTTTTATATAAGGACCGAGCCAGGGAGAAATCAAGACATCTTACCTCCGAATTGGTGCCCCTACCATGGAGACTGTCGGAACTGTCAACTACCTGGGACTTTAAATGTGAGATCCAGGAACATCATACCATAGAAAATGCATACTGTCGGAACTATAACGCAGAAAGACCAAAGGGGACGAAAAATGGAGATTTTGTCGAGACTTCCAACGACTCACGCCGTCAAACCCCAATATGTATGTAACCAAAACGAGAAACCCCCCCCTGAAATCACGTATCCCTTCGGACGCGCGTGTTTGTTGTCTGAATATTGGCTGACGTACTATATTGAATGATTGACTCCAAGGTGGAGGACATTTAGACCCTCCAGGGCTATCTCTATCCCCCCCACTTTTCGGGTTTCCTTGTTTTTGACCTGTGGTGTCACATCTGGGACAATACTAGCAGTTGAGGTTGACCGCAACTTGTGTTTTCCATTACTATTTCTGTAGATAAGATAGAAGATCTGCCTGCAGTAACAGTCTACGGATGTAAGCTTCAGATGCAAGGAATGCCTAGCTTATCTCTTTTAGGTCACGCAGCGTGTGTGAACTAGTATGCACGCCCCCCACTACCCTACATATATTAACTCGTCACTACGTGCGGAGTACTCCGTAGTGAAATGAATTGTTAAATATATTCTTATTTTGGCGATATCATATAATCCTTAATTCCCCTGGTCATACATCGAAAAATCCTTTGTACGGTTTGTAGTTTTTACCGGCCTTGTATACATCTAAAAAATAATTTAAAAAGACATCCAAAAAGAACACCCAAAAGATCATTGGAGTGTCGTTACATATGACGTCTCTTGTATAACCGATAGCCAAATGCGTGATATTTATAGAGTCCTATATCGCCAAGTCGCCAAGGACCGAGGCCGCATAACTATTGTTGGTTGTAAATTGGATTTTAGGGCTTTTAGACTGCCAAGTGTCAAATATTTTGCTCGAGGATTTTCATTGCATTTACCGCTATCCACATGTATACGTAGGCAGAGGTAGGAATGTGAGACAATATGGTGGCATAGAGACTGTCTTAAAGGGGTTATTAGGTACCATTTCCCTTTTTGAGATCCCCCAAAGTACATAACAAGCGTCACACAGTAACAAACAGGGAAGATGGCAAAGCCAACTGACAAAATGTTGTCACCATTGGCAATTGTTGGACTGTCACTCAAATTCCCACAGGATGCCATATCTCCAGATTCCTTCTGGGACATGATCGTCGAGGGCAGGTGCGCCTCGACGGAGTTTCCTCCAGATCGGCTGAACATCGATTCCCACCATAACCTGGACGCCAATCGACTTGATAGCTTATCTCTACGTGGAGGTCATTTCATGAAAGAGGATGTTGCTCTGTTTGATGCCCCTTTCTTTTCTATTACTGCCGCAGAGGCAGAGGCTATGGACCCTCAACAGAGGCTGATTCTGGAAGCTGCCTATCGAGCACTCGAGAATGCTGGGATTACCATGGAAGGAATCGCACGATCAAAGACCTGCGTATTTGCGGGGTCATCAGGCCATGAGTATCTGATGTTGCAGGCAAAAGACCCCCAATATCTACAGAAGTGGGGCATCACAGGAACGACGGGGAATATGGTGGCGAACCGCATTAGTTGGTTTTTTGACCTTATAGGACCCAGCGCTGCGATCGACACGGCTTGTTCAAGCAGCCTCATGGCTATTGATATGGCATGTCAGTCAATATGGAGTGGTGACTCAACCATGGTGAGTGTACGTTTCAAATAACTCCATAACATTTCTGATACTGTTAGGGACTGGCAATTGGAAGTAACGTTATTCTGGCACTGGAGACATCACTGATGATGGACAACTTGGGACTTCTATCTAAAGACAGTCGTTGCTACAGTTTTGACGAACGTGGCAATGGATATGCACGTGGCGAAGGAGTTGGCGTCCTTGTCATTCGTCCCTTGGAAGATGCCGTGCGAGACGGGGATACAGTCCGAGCCGTGATAAGGTCTTCTGCCTCTAACCAAGATGGAAGGACACCGGGAATTACGCTGCCGAGTACTGAGATGCAGGCTACATTAATACAAGAGGTTTATCGCAAGGCAGGGCTGGACATGACAAAGACACGCTATTTTGAAGCACACGGAACAGGTCTGGCTATCACAATATCTACAAGACTGCATACCATCCAGGCTAACATAACACAGGAACTGCCATTGGAGATCCAATCGAGACCGCAGCCATTGGCTCCGTGTTTCGACCACATCACTCTCTAGATAATCCATTATACATGTGAGTATGATAGCCCTAGGTCTTGACTCACGTTAATAAAATACCTAGCGGATCGGTGAAGTCTAATATTGGGCACCTGGAAGGTGCCAGCGGTGTTGCTGGAGTCATCAAAACAATTCTAGCACTAGAGAAAGGAATCATTCCTCCCAACAGTGTGAATTTGCAGAGCTTGAACCCCAGAATTGATGACGAGTTTTTAAATATCAAGGTATGTCAAACTGATTGAACACCTGCGTTCTTATATCTGATGGACACAGTTCCCACAAAAGGCTCTGCCCTGGCCCTCGGAGGGACTTCGACGAGCATCAGTTAGCTCTTTTGGCTATGGAGGATCAAACGCCCATATTGTGCTGGATGATGCCTACAATTTCATGAAACTGAATGGCCTAAAAGGGAATCATAATACAGTGCTCCCATTCCAGCCATCCAAATGCAGAGATTGCGATTTGGACGCAGAAGGGGAAATCAGTTCAGATGGAACTGGCTTCAATGGACTGACAGAAACAACAAACGATACGCCCAAACTCCTCGTCTGGTCAGCAGCAGATGAAAAGGGCATTCTTCGACTTAAAGAAACCTGGAAGTCACGCTTCCCCACCATCACACAATCGGCTAGGAAGAACCCAAAGTTCCTAAGTGATCTCGCTCATACGTTAGCGTGCAGACGGACTCATTTATCATGGAGGTCGTTTGCTGTCGTTCGCCCGTCAGATGATCTGGGGGCATTGGTTGATCGATTTTCGCCAGCCTCCCAGTCTCGCGGTTCATCGAATCTTGCGATGGTATTTTCTGGGGTAAGTGTGCGTTCTTATTTTGAGATAGCCGAAACTGAGAGTTTTATAGCAAGGAGCCCAGTGGTATGCGATGGGGCGCCAGCTTCTGGATATTTACCCCGTGTTCCTTCAGAGTATCGAGGACGCCGGCGAGTATCTCCAAACACTAGGATGCAAATGGATGCCCCTTGGTATGTGAAGTATACCTATTGATTATGTGTGGCTCTCTGCTAACATACCCTAGACGAGCTCGAACGCAGTGAATCCACTTCAAATATCAATAAGACCGAGTACAGCCAAATTCTGTGCACGATCCTTCAGGTGGCTTTGGTCGATCTCCTCCGCTCTGTGAACATCACCCCCAAAGCGGTACTAGGTCATTCATCCGGCGAGGTGGCAGCAGCGTAAGTAAACCCACCTCTTGAGAGACTATTCTTACCTCCTTTATCAGATATTGCGCCCGTGCAATCTCCAGACAATCAGCCTGGAAGGTATCCTATTATCGGGGTTATATGAGCAGTAAGCTGGAAAAGTCTAGCCAAATGAGAGGTTCCATGCTTGCAGTGGGCCTATCAGAACAGGGCATCAAGCCGTACATCGACAAGCTTAGCAAGGATCATGAGGTTTCCAATCTGATTGTTGGCTGCATCAATAGCCCCAAGAGCGTGACTGTTACTGGAGAGGTGACCCACCTCGACTCCCTCAAGAGCATACTTGACAAGGAAAATATCCTTTGTCGGAGGCTTAAGGTTAATTTGGCTTACCATTCATCTCAAATGAAGGAAGTCGCATCTCTCTATCAGGCAGCAATGGGAGAGTTAGAGGTAGGTTATACAGGACATAAGAACAGCCCCGAGATGGTGTCCTCTGTGACCGGCGACTGGATCGATCCAGGAGAGGTCTCTCAGGCTGCGTATTGGGTTAAGAACATGGTCTCTCCAGTGCGCTTCTCCGATGGACTGACTAGACTTTTCTCGGGATCTGCTCCAAATTCCCACAAGAGATTGGATGGCAGTCATCGCAGGACAAGGGATATTGATCACATACTCGAGGTTGGTCCACATTCAGTCTTACAGGGTGCCTGCAAGGATGTATTGAAGAACATTGAAAACGACACACCAACTGAATATTTTTCGTTATTGGTACGAAAAATGTCCGCGGCAGATACTGTATTCGCCGTCTTTGGAAACCTGCACACTGCCGGCTATCCGATTGATCTTTCCCAGGTGAATGGAATTGATTTTACAGGACATGAAATTCCAAAATCATTGCCAGACTTGCCCGAGTACCCTTTCAACCATGATACCTCATACTGGCATGAGAGTAAAATTAGCAAAGATCACCGGCTACATCCATTTGGCCGGAACGACCTACTGGGAGTTTCTGATCCGAACTGCAATCCTTTCGAGATGCGGTGGAGGAACTTTGTACGCGTTTCTGAGATGCCTTGGACCAAAGATCATCAGGTGAGAGGAGAGCATTTGGGTAGCGCGAAATTTACAAGCTAACACGGGACAAGGTCAATGGCACGATTATATACCCTGGCGCTGGCATGTTGGTGATGGCCATCGAGGCGGCCAAGCAGGTGGCAGAGCAAGGAAGAGCCATTACCGGGTTTAACATCCAAGAAGCCAAATTCCATGCTGCGATGATAGTTCCGCCTGGAACACACGGAATCGAGACTAGCTTCTACCTCCACCCTGCCAAGGGCATGGACTCCAAAAGCTCCAGCAGTTTTGAATTTCGCCTCTGTACATGTGAGAACGAAGAATGGATCGAAAATTGTACCGGGTCTATTCAGATTGTGTATACCCCAGAGGAGGAGCCTGAAATGGACAAAGTACACACAGAGGAATTGTGGAGCTCACAATTGGAAGCTTACTCGGATGCCATCAAAGCATGCACATTGCTAGTGGATGGCCCGTCTCTATATGACCGTTTTTTGAACTCCGGCTATGACTATGGAGAAGCCTTTCAGCTCATTGACAAATTGTCAATTAGTCCTGTGCAGCCATGCGTAACTGCTCAAGTCAAAAGATTCTCTTCTTCAACAGGCGAGACGATCCATCCGACAACGCTCGATGCCATTTTGCAGACATCCATCTGGACCGAGGTGGCTTCTCAAACAGAGAATATACCCACTACTGGTCCAAAGTATGTGAGAAATTTGTGGGTTGCGAGCGCTTTCGAAAACACATCATCTGGCATTTTGAGGACGTATGCTACTCGCACTGTGCGATCATCATTTCCTAGTTCTTCCTCTGACATCTTCACATTTGACGAAGCATTGCGTGAAACTCTGATCTCTGTTGAGGGACTTGAAACAGATGTCAATACCTCAGAAAACACAGAGGAAAATGACCCGTCCTCCGAAGATCTCTGCTATCAGGTCCAATGGAAGCCCGACCTCAACCTACTGAGCAACAGAGAAACCACGAATCTCTGTATCAAGGAATACCCCTACTTGTCAGAAGACACAGAAGATTTCTTAGGTGACTTGGATTTCGTGTTCATGGCGCGTATCACTGAAACACTGAAAATATTATCCGAGCAGCAGCTCACGCCATCACAGCCACATCTGAAAAAATATGTGGACTGGATGATGGATCGACAACACCTGCTTGATAAAGGCCTGCTTCAATTTGCCACTGAGCCATTGAAGAGTCGGCTGGTCGATCTTGGAGATCTTCAAGATGTCGAAAATAGGTTGCTGAATCTCAACAAAAGAGGTTATTTCTATGTCACTGTTGCTCGAAATCTGTTGGAGTTCCTTACCGGTGAAATGGACCTGTCGACCCTTTTTGAAGGCAACATGCTGAAAGAATTCTACTCCGGACAAGTAAGTCTTCATGTTCATACTTCAGTTCTATCGCTCATGACAGGAATAGCTTCACGAATCCCGTGCCCTCAGACAGGCTGGAAAATACCTTGATCTCCTTTCTCATCAAAACCCCAAAATGAAGATTCTGGAAGCCGGTGCTGGAATTGGATCCATGACGGAGGTTATGCTGCGCACGTTAGGGAATACCGAAACCAGCGACCCGCAATATGCCCAGTGGGACTTTACCGATAAGTCAGGATCGACTTTTGCTAGTGCCCAAGATCAATTCCATCAGGAGGCCGGGCGAATAAAATTCAAACTTTTGGACATTGAGCAGGATCCTGAGAAACAGGACTTCGAGTGTGGTACATACGATATAGTCGTTGCTTCCATGGTGCGCTCACATCTCTTCCTAGAAACATCGCAACTACTAACTCCAAACCAGGTCATTCATGCTACTTCGAACATCAAAGATGCTCTAGGCAATGCCCGAAAGCTTCTAAAGCCGTTAGTATCGTTTCCAACGCTCAATGTCCCAATAAATCTGACACATAATATCTAGAGGTGGCAAGCTCATGCTGTACGAGATGATCGGTCCTGGTGTCTGGTCTACTTTTACGTTCGGCCTTCTTGAGAGATTTTGGCCTAGTACGTTCTTCGTCTCCAATAAAAGCTAACAACAGCGCTAAAATTCACAGATTCAGTCGCAGATTCGAGACCGGGGCCTTGCTTCGACGAGAGGCAATGGGACGAACTTCTTCTCCAGACTGGATTCTCTGGCCTGGATCTCCTTCTACCAGAAGTTGATGGAACAATATCCCATGAATTTGGTCTAATAGTCTCCACAGCCGCCGAGGAACCCCCAGCAGCCTATCCTGTCCCGGAAATCGAAATTGTCTACGATGCTGCCGAGTCGGGCCAGCAAGAACTCGCACAGTTCCTCGTTAAATACTGCCAATCGAACAAGCTCGCCCCTGTCCGTTCTTCCTCTGTTCAAGAGGCAATGAAGTACAAGTCTGAAAATCCATTGCTACGGATCTTCCTTCTCGAGCTTCACATTCCCATCTTGTCCGAAATCCAATCGGGGCTATTCCAACAACTTCGGAGTCTCCTTTCCTCCACATCACAGGCTCTATGGATCAACCAAGGAGGAGGCATACTTCCCTCTCAGCCGCAGTTCCGCCTTGTGGATGGACTATTCCGCGTACTGATGACGGAAGATAGCAAACGTAAACTTCACCTGCTTTCGCTCGAGCCTCGTGGCCCTTTGGATCTAAAGCAACGCGATCATATCACAAGGTTGATTAGATTTTTCTTGTCACCATCCACTGCAAATGCAGATACGGAGTACATTGAGCAGGATGGAGTCTTGAACATCCCTCGCCTGATTGCTTCCAAACCATTGAGTGAGAGCATATCTACTATGGCCACCTCTCACCAGCACCGTACGCAGAGCTTCGATTGCCAGATTCCCCTCCGACTTAATGCCGCATCTCCGGGCCTAACCGATGAATTTGGGTTCATCGAAGATGAGACTGCTTACGAGCCACTCCGGTCAGATGAGATCGAGATCCAGATAAAATTCGCAGGGCTGAACTCTCATGATGACCTAATTACAGCAGGCCGGTGGAAAGCGAACGATACCGGATCTGAATGCTCTGGAAATGTCATTCGGGTGGGTGACGCCTGTGAGCGATTCCAAGTCGGTGATCACGTTGCTGCCCTACACAACGGTTGCTTTGCCACGTCGATTCGCCTGCGAGAAACTGGCCCCATTGTCAAGATTCCTGAGGGTGTATCCTTCGCCAATGCTGCAGCTGTGCCAGTCAGTTTTGCCACTGCACACATTGCACTGCACAATGTGGCCCACATCCAGCCTGGCGAGACTGTGTTGATTCACTCGGCATCTAGTGATACTGGTCAAGCAGCGGTCCAGATTGCAAAGAATGCTGGAGCAACGATTTTTGCAACAGTTAGCTCTGAGAGCAAGAAACAACTGCTTATGGATATCTACCACATCCCCGCGTCCCATATTTTCTCTAGCCGGACGATTGTGTTTTCAAAGATGATCAAGCGCCGCACGGGCGGAAAGGGTGTCGATGTGATTCTCAACTCACTGACAGGGGAAGGTCTGTTCGAATCTTGGAGGTGTATTGCACCTTATGGTCGATTCATCGAGATTGGTAAAAGGGACATTCTATCAAACCATGGGCTCCCCATGTTCCGGTTCCTTGAGAATTTTACCTTCAGCGCCATAGACTTAACTGCCATGTCAGTTGAAAGACCCGAGGTATGCATCGCTGCTCTCAGATCGGTATTTGATTCCATACAGGTTGGCAACCTGCGACCATCCCAGCCTATCAACGCATACGGGGTAGGGGAAATGGAGGAGGCATTTGGAAAGATGCAGACTAGCCAACATGTTGGTAAAATGGTGCTTGATATGCGAGGACAAGATCAGGTTAAGGTAAAGTTTACTTCTCCCCTGTCTTATCTGCTAGTTCTTACAAGTCCCTATTTTCTAGATGGCGTTGAGAACCCGATCCAGTTTCTCATTGGATCCCAATGCAACGTTCGTGGTTTCCGGGGAATTCGGGGGGTTGGGAAAAAACATCGCATGCTGGCTGGCAGACCAAGGAGCTCGCCATTTGCTCCTTCTGTCAAGGTCCGGGGGACAGAGTGAGAAGGGCAAGGAGCTTGTCAAGTGCCTTGAACTGAAAGGCGTGATGGCCCTGGCTCCAGCTTGTGATGTCTCGGACGGGGAATCGGTGAAGAACGCTTTGCGTGAATCTGGATCGCAAATGCCCCGGATCAAAGGATGTATCCAGGCAGCCATGGCACCGAGGGTGAGTATCGATGTCACTTTGTTTGCTTTCAGATGGGCTAACCTCCCTAGGACGCTCGTTTTGAAGAAATTTCCCACCAATTCTGGCAGGAATCTATTAGCCCTAAGGTGCAAGGATCGTGGAACCTCCACAAACATCTTCCCCAAGGAATGGACTTTTTCATCTTGCTATCGTCTCTCTCGGGCATTCTAGGAACCAGTGGACAGGCCATCTACGCCGCCGGCAACACTTTCCATAGTGCACTAGCTCGGCACCGTGTTGGTTTGAATGAGAAGGCGACTTGTCTGGACTTGGGGGTGTGTGATTACGTTGGTGGCGCTGCCGACAGTGAAAACAGTGGTGTGGCACCAGTGACAGAAGCACAGTTCCATGCCCTGCTAGCCAAATATTGTAATCCTAGGATCGGTCTTCCAACACCTCTGGATTGCCAGACTATCGTTGGCCTGTCCCCAAGTGCACTTTCCGACAAGAAACAATGGCAAGATAACCCACTCGTCCGACACCTGATCACAAACGAGACACTCGGTGGAAAAGCAGATAGTCGACCACACAGCGCCAAAGGAGCAGGATCACTGCTACAAGCGGAGACCTTGGCCGATGCCAATGCGGCTGTTTTGGAATTATCCACCGAAAAGCTTTCCAAGACTGTAAGCATGGCGATGGCGGATGTTGATGCGAATACGCCCTTGCACCAGTATGGAGTGGACTCGCTCGTTGCGGTAGAGCTGCGCGATTGGTTTGCCGAAGAGCTTCAGGCTGAGTTGGGTGTTTTTGAGATCCTTGGAGGTGCAACGTTGGCGTCAGTGTCACAGTTGGTTGCGAAGAAGAGTAACCTTGTTCAGGCTTCATAGACTTATACATTAGATTTGCTGGATTAAACTTGAATTTCTATTACAATCCCCCCAATATGATCCATATAGTAGTAATATCAAGTTGTGGGGGTGTCGTTTTATAGAGGACGATTCCTAATTTGGACATCACATCAACCCCCCCACTATGATCTCATCGCTTTCTTATAAAACAAGGCTGGATTGATTCTTCTTTCTACTTCATACTTCATCTTTTTTAATCAACAATATGGCCAAGATTACTCTCCAGTCAAAGCATCAGCTACAGTCAGGACATGAGATCCCAGTGATAGGATATGGAGTCAGTTACCCCGCAAACACAGACCTATATGACCAACCTTGGAAGAGAGCTGACATGGTATAACAATAGGTGTATATGATGTACGTTTGAAACCCAATACACCCTCATTTTGAATTAAACCCCCTGACCAATCGGTAGTCCCTCATCCGCGACCGAGAAGGCTACTCTCGAAGCCCTGGATGTTGGATTCCGCCATGTACGTCTCCCCCACGAAGACCGCAAGACCACACTAACCAAATCCCAGGTCGACTCGGCAATCATGTACCGCAACGAGAAGCCCTGCGGAAAGGCAATCCTGAATTCCAATCTGGATCGATCGCAGATCTTCTTTACGACCAAGATCCCGCCAGGATCGATGGGCTACGAGTCTACTAAGCGAGCTATTAATTCCAGTCTACGAGAAGCTGCACAGGAATACTTTGACCTGTAAGTTCCCCGGGGTATATGGCAAACATATCATATATCTATCCACCCTGGAATTGGAATGTACAATCTAACCCCTAGATCTAACCAACAGTGTTCTAATCCATGCACCCTACGGCGGAAAAGAAGCCCGTCTAGGTTCCTGGGATGCACTGGTTGAAGCCCAGAAAGCAGGAAAAGTGAAATCCATCGGTGTATCAAACTACGGCATCCACCACCTCGAAGAACTGGAGGCTTACATCCAGGGTGGCGGGGGTGGTCAGATTGATGTTGGTCAGTATGAACTGCACCCGTGGCTGGACCATTCGGATATCGCAGAGTGGTTGCAGAAAAGGAAGATTGTTGTTGAGGCGTACTCGCCCCTTGCGCATGGGAGTCGGTTGACGGAGCCCGTGTTGCTTTCTATCGGGAAGAAGTATGGGAAGAAGCCGGCGCAGGTTTTGATTCGGTGGAGTTTGCAGATGGTAAGTAGGACCGAGTTTGTTCAGGGCAAAGGATATAATATATAGATTCGGGTATGCTAATATTCTGGTTCTTAGGGATTTGTGCCTCTGCCCAAGTCTACTACGCCGAAGCGCATTCGCGAGAATGCTGATGTCTTTGACTTTGAGTTGGCGGATGAGGATATGAAGTTGCTTGATACGGGAGAGTATTCTCCCACGGACTGGGATCCGACTGTTGATGAGGATTGAAGTAGATGGTTGTAGTTATATGTGAACTAGATGCTTTAAGTAATTAAATGGTTGAGTAGAGGAAGCCGGAGGAACGTTGGATTTGTCAGAGGCCCGTAGGAGGAGGGGCTCTCCGCGGGGTGAACTTGCGACTTTCAACTTTCAACTTTCTCGCACTCCGATCTTCATCTTGTCTCTTGTGACACTTGCGATTTAGATTTTAATACATCTATATCGAATTTCCCACTTATTCTTCCATCATGAAGTTGATCCTATCCAGTTCGTAAGTAGTGTCATTCGATGCGCCTCGAATCCAAGTCACTCACCCTTCACAGGAATATTATGCAAGCTGGACGGCAATCCGTCATTCGCCAGCCTCTGACCCAGAAATCAAACGTTGAGCTAATCAACTCACTTCGATCCAACTTCCTTGCCTCGCAACAGATCGGAACCTCACCGGCTGACGGCACCAAGACAAATGGTCACTCAACTGCATCGCATCCGCCCTCATGGACGCTACAGACCGAAGATGGTCTCTATATCCCCGCGATCGACTTCTCACAGCCCGGTCTGTCAGAAGAGCGCGACCAATACGATATCACAGTGAAGCTATTCTACCTACCGGGAATCCCGGTGTCAAGGCGGTGCGCACACACCCGAGAGGCAATTGATCTGGTATTGAAGGAACTACACGTCAAGTCTATCGATCTACTGATCGTCTCATTCCCGGGGATCCTGTTCGATGCAGACGACGACAGCGAAGAAGAAGACAATGAAGCGAGCACTGGCGAACCGGACGACTTCGACAGCTTGGTGCAGACATGGCAGGTGTTGGAGTCGCTGCATGAACAGGGCGTGATCGCCCAGCTGGGAGTCGCGGAGTTCGGCAGCGAACGCTTGGCCCGGTTCCTCCCGCATACCAAGGTCAAGCCCTCGGTCGATCAGATCAATCTTAAGGATTGCTGTGTCGTTCCTAAACATTTGATTCTCTATGCGAAACAAGAAAAGATTCAACTCCTCACCCATAACGATTGCCATGATATTCTTCCTGTCGGCACGACGCGGGAACTGCTCGGTCCCGCGGAGAAGAGCGGTGCGGGCATCTTGGCTTCGTCTCCCGAGGCCAACGACGGTATCCAGGGAGATATCGAGCCGCAGTGGGTAGTTAAGTACACGGCAGTCGTCAAAGATCGCGGAGTAGTCGAGAACAAGGGGTATTTCGCGTCGGCTGATGTCGGCACATGTCTCAAGGACCGGTCATGAATGCTTCATTTTTTCTTCTTTGCGATCGTCGATATGGATTTTTGTCATGACAAGCGTGGCGTTTCTTTTTTGCTTTAAATCAATCATAGCTGGTGTGGGACGGTTGCATCCAACTCTAAAAACCAAATGAGATTGGCTTAACCAAGCATACTCCTCTTCCGCCCTCTCATGCGCACATCCTCAAGTCTCTTCAGCGCAGAAAGGGCTCCCTTGTAACTATCCCGGTAACCCGCAATCAGCGCATCAAACATAGGCTCCGAGCGCGGATGCGTGCTCCCAATCGCCCGCTCCAACACATATAAATCAACAGCCCGGTCTTCATCCTGATTACTCTGCGACGCAAGACCGAAATCAATCAACACGACATCGCCCTCTGTGGAAGGCGAGCCAGCGCCATCAACAGCACCACTTGCATCCGCAGATGGTCGCAGCATGAGGTTACTCGTAGTCAAGTCTCCATGCACAACACCAGCCTTGTGCAAGACACCGATAGCAGAGCCCATTTTCCTCAACAAGCCGCGCACACGCGCTTCTTCGTTTTCGATCTGTGATTCATCCAGCGAGCCTTGGTTCTGCTTCATCCATGCTTCCCACTGCTCGAGAACTACCCGCACCACAGGCCCGTCAATCCACTCCATCATTAGCCAGGCACCGCCCCACCCGCCTTCTGTGCCGCCGTGGCCTTCCCAGTCCAGGGCTAGGAGGGCTGGAACGCTAACGCCCTCCCGTACGAGTTTCGCTAGGCATCGTGCCTCTGAGGTTATCCGTTGGCGGGTGAGTCGGCGGTCGAGAATTGGGTGGCGGTAGGGTTTTGAGGGGCGGATCTTGAGCGCGGCGGGGATGGAGGGGTTGAGGGAGGTGGTTTTGTAGAGGTGGGCTTCGGCGCCTTGAGTGAGGAGAGTTGGTGGTGGTGTGGTATTGTTGAAGGGGGAGGGGAGAGGTGGGGGTTTGTATTCTTCCATTATGAGAGTTTTGGGGAGGAGAGGTTGAAAGGTGGAAAGGGAAAGGGGATGAAGTGGTGAAGTGAAGAGGAAAAAGTTGTGGGGCGGATTCTCGGAGTATAACCAGTTGTATACATAACCAGCTGGAATTATTTGGATGTTGATAGTTGGATTGAATATGTTGATATGTATGTTAAATATGTTAAATAGATGTCAATTCATCAAAGCAGAAACAATTTATATGTAAATTAAAGAATAAATTTTGAAATCATTAATGCATATATTCCGTAGTATCTCATTAATTATGTGGACACCTGAGTTCACAAACCCTTATATGTATAACCCCCCCCCTTTTCTCTCAATATTTCCATATTAATAGCTAAATCAAAGCAGATGAAGGTCAGGGCGCACATTAGCCAATCGACAAGTACCCTGATACATCCTCTCAAGAGTCGACGCCATAACCTCTAGATCAGTAGACTCCGCCGACCAATGCTTCAGCGTTCGAACCGACAGTCTCACCAAGGCAGTCCAATTCACCGGTAATCGCACCTGCCACGTAGCAGGGTCCCGAGATGCCTCAAGCTGGTATAAGACAGCCCCGAGGATGTGCACAGCACAGGCAAAGCTGGCACGAACCACGTTCCAGATCCACTCATGTCGGAACTGATACCAGTAGCTTGGTATGAGTGTGACGCAGTTGTCAATGGCCTTTTGTGCCAAGTGGAACACTTCCGCCCACAATTGGTTGTTCTTTTTGATGAATGTTGGCATACCCTGGAAATGCATTGCAAGGTAGAATGATGGTCGGTAGATCCTCTCCAGTGCCATGTGGTACCGACCGCGGAAGAAGAACCTCAGGTCTGGGTTGTCTTTTGCAGACTGGATCCCCGCTATGGAGATTTGGTACCTTTGGGAAGAGTTAGCAAGGCCAGTTCGGGGATATTGAAATTGTGTTCGGGGGACCTCGGGGCTCGTGGCTCGGGGCTCGTGGCTCGTACCATGATGTTACAACACGCTCTGCGTCCATGGTTTTTCTTAGGAGATCGGGGATATCTTTGGTCCAGCCTTTCTCGCCTTGACGCCACATGTCAGACACTATGTCATTAGTGGTCCGGCGGTTACAGATAGACCCGATGTAGAATTTCCACCCTTTCTCTTCCTCGGTGCCATCTAGTTCAAACCCTGGCCTGACTCCGAAATCTTGATCTTCCTCCATTTGATCATATGATGAAGGAGATCTGCGAGAGAATTTGGGGAATGGGTCTGAATAGCCTAGGCTTTCAAGACCACTGCTCCAGAGAGGGAGCTCGCTCTGCATCTCACTGTCGACAATACTTAGCTGAGGACCATATAACAGCCCGGTGAAAAGAACCTACTGTTCCGCTTGGATACAAGACCAGT